ACGGCCACGCCGACGTCGACCTTCGTGATCTGTACCCGTGGCTTGGCGCAGAGCTTGGAGTTGTCCGACGACGTGGTACTGGAGTTTGAGGCAGCCGAAGGTGTAGCAGCAGCCGAGGCATCGGTAGCAGCTGATGAAGTATCGGCCACCGTGGAGGCAGCAGTAGCCGTTGAAGAGTCTGTAGTCACAGAGGAGTCGGTCGTCGGAGTGGCGGGCGTCTCCGTCTCCGGTGCATCGGTTGTTTGCTGTTCTGTACCACCCGTACTGCTATCGGCATCGGGCGTACTGGGGGTTAAGTTGTCGAAGGAGAACGAAGAAGCGGGCGAAATACCCGGAGCGTCGGTGGTCGTCGACGTTGAAGGCGCCAAAGTTCGGTATCTGCACGTGGCTGCCTCAGAAAAGTCTCCACTAGTGGCAACCAGAGCTGCAGTAGCAAATAGTAAGCGATATAGACGCATCGTCGGAAGATAGCTAATACTGGAATGGAAGGCTATCTAACACTTGCAGTTTGCGCTGTTCGAGCGTCGTTTCTTGCCTGTGAGAGCTGATTATGCAGTGGTTTCCCCCGAAATGTTCGAACGTCAACCTAACCGACTCGAATTGGTCGGCAACGAATGTAGAGGAGTCTTGATGTTGTAGAGAGCGAGAGGAGAGAGGTTGGTGCAAAAGCCTTGGATGGGCAGATTGCTATGCTACATGCACTAATAGCATGACGCTAGATGATCAAATTTGTAGCAGCACCACATTTCAATGTGAGTGCAATGATGTTTGCAGTCGACGTACTCTCACCTCCGATTCATAAGAAGCCCATGAGCGCGAGCTCATGGGCTGCCGGATCAAGCGATAAATCGAAGCGTGAGCTCTGAAGTAGTGTATTCTTCTCGATTCTTGAATTGCTTGTCTTCGAACGGGCGGCATCGCAAGTGCTTTTGAAACAGCGGTCTGGGTGCCATCACAGCATGTCGAATTCCTCAATAGCGACCTAGAATCACATGGAGAACAGCTACGCTCATCCAAATGAGTCAGCAAAGGCGCAACAGTGCAGTGCCACTAAGTAGAAGAGCAACTATCATGTTCCGAACATTTGAAAGGCACCTGCCGGTCTGGACGAATGGATATGCAGGTACACATGGATAGCGACCACGGCAATTCCAAACAAGCGCAAAACATGTCCAAATTGTCGATGGATCTACATGTACTCGGCGACAGTACGTGCCGCGCAAATATTTCTTCGTTTGCATGCACTTCATTGAGTCAAACTGAGGCGTCCATGCTCACTTGACGTTATCGACACGAGGCGTCCTCGTTGAGGACACGCGTGACGTCCAGCTGCAGGAACAGATCCCAGCTGGTGCACAGGATGCAGTGGACCACAAATAGCATGCAGCGTCACCAATAGCGACGCTGCATGGAGCGCCAGCAACGTTGAGTCGGGCTTCGTCGTCATGTTTGGCTCAAGAAGCCCGCCCTTGCCGAGACAGACTGGTCAACGGGTTGGGCCAGTCGCCACGACATCCTTGCTCAAGACCCACCGAGCCGAGCCTGGTTGGTGTCTTTTTAAACCGGGGCTCTCGCTGAGAGCTGCTTCGGCATGGACGGATGGAACGTTTGTAGTGTTTCCAGTGTATGAGCTGTTCATGACGACCCGGTACACTGCGTTGGAGCGATGATCGTCTCGGAACCGAAGGAGCGCAGATGCTGTATCAGAAGCGCGGCGCTGATAACTATTATTGGTCTACGGACACTGCAAGCCGAAGTAGAGTGCGATAATAGTGAACGTTGATCCGTTATGATGGCCCTAGCAAAGGTTCGCCACTGCAGCTGTGGTTCATGGAGGCTCCGCGCGCGACTTCTTCACATGGAGATACGCGTACTGTCATGAGCCCGTGGGTGGCTTTAATGGGCATGACCAGCTTCGTCGGCTTCACTCGCCTGCATTCCGCAATTGGCCTTCCAACGCTACAGTTATCCAGCAAGACCAACTAGTGACTATGCGTCTCTACACCGTTTTAGCAACGACTGCGATCGCAGCGATCGCAACAACTGATGTCATCGCCGTTGACAAGTGCACCATCAAGACAACCGCCCCTGTAGCTACTACGGCTACCTCGGTGACCTCCACCACCTCGTCGTACATCAATGATGGCAGCATAGAGGCGGCCTCCGACAGCGCCGCCTCCGCTGCTGCATCCGCCGTTGATGCCAGCCAAGCTTCTACGTCGGACGCCGCCTCAGCTGCTGATGCGGCCGCCACCAGCTCGACGGCAGCAGATGCCGACCCCGCTTTTGATGCGGCGGAGACATCGACTGCCGGTTCCAATGCTGCATCGACAGCTTCTTCAGCGTCTACAGCTTCCAGTGCGAGCTCAACCTCCACTACCACGACTGCTGCTTCAGCCACATCATCCAGTTCCGGATTCTGCAGTACGCCTCGCGTGCGTATCACGGAGGTTGACGTAGGTGAAACGGTGGAGAACAACGAAGACGAGGCCGGACTCACCGTCGTTGCCATCGCGTCACTACCCTCGGGCGGCTCCCGTATCGCTTTTCAGAGCGGTGACAATGTCATTGTGCGTGAGCTGGATTCAGACGACGCTCTCGTGACCAGCACGGCTGCCGTCGAAGTCCCACTTGTAGACTTTGCCGACATCCACGCCGACGACGACGGCTTCGTCTTGCTCGGCACGAGAGATGCTGAAGGCGGAGGTACTCTAAACTGCGGTAACCCAAGCAACCTGTGCTCTGCTCCCAGCGACGCCGTTCCGTGCTATGACATGTACCTGGTTCGCTACGATGGCTCAACGGAGACGTGGGCCACCAAGCTGACGTCGTCCAGCTCGTCGCTGCCGCCCTACTCGACCTCTGCTACTGGCGAGGAGGTCTACATGATCTGGTGGTACGCTCACCACGGCCGTCTAGCATACGACGGATCGAACTGGGCCGCGTACTTCGGTTGTGCTTTGTCCGTCTCGGAAGACAGCTGCATCAACATCCACCAGGGCGACCGCATGAAGGTCGTGGACTCCACGGGATCGGTCACGTCAGACACAGACTCCTTTGACTGGGGTTGCTCGCACTCCGGGTACGAGCGTATTACCTATGACAACCGAACGGACGGCTACGCCACGATCTGTAAGACGGACAGCAACAACCGCATCATGCCGCCCAAGGACTGGGACACCACGATCTACCCTGTTGACCTGGCGGCTGCTAACTTGGGCGACATCGTGCCGGACTCTGTTGCGTCGAGCAAGAAGTACTGGGCCACTGTGAGCAACAGTACGTCGGATAGTGACGAAGACAACGCTCGCGTGCATTTAATCCACTTCTCGATGGATGCTGAGGCCAGCGAAGATATTATTCTTGGAGGTACGGATGCCAACGAACGTGCTCCGCATCTCGCATCCATCGGCGACGGCGGTCTGCTCGCCATGTGGGAAGGAAGCTCCACGAGTGGCGATCTCAAGTACGAATCGAGTGGTCGAACGATCTACGCGCAGGTGCTGGATGCGTCGACGGGTTCTGCGATCAGCGAGAAGGTGGCAGTGGACAGCAAGGTGATCGGAAACCGCTACCAGGCGTTGAAGACGTTCCCGGACGGAAGCGTTGCGTACCTGTCGATGGGAACGACGAGTACGTCGGTGCAGGTTGTGCGTTTCTTCGGCTGCTAAGAAGTGAAGAGAGAAAGATGCGTAAGCAAGAATGTTGTAGTGTATAGATGTACGTTTGTCTCCGCAAGCATTAGGCATCACTGCCATCATATTCGTGATACTTGACCATGTTAAGGAAATTTTTAGTTTGTTTCACTTCGAAGCTACTACATGTAATTTCTGTTCGGTCTGCAATCGTGCACTATACTACTAGTATTGTTCGGCGTACCAGGTTCTTGAACACAACCAAATGCATATTGGGAAATCGATATATGGGCATCCAAAGCACATTCATGACAGAGCAAGATACTCTTATTCATATCGAGCTCGCATCTCTTACATCACACGTACAACATTTCTATCTCTTCTTGTTCCAACTCAAATCCACTTAGCAGCCGTAGAAACGAACCACCTGCAGCGAGGAGTCCGTCTTGCCCTTCGACAGATACGCCACACTGCCGTCCGGGTACGTCTTCAGAGCCTGGTAGCGGTTACCCACCACAGACTTGTCCACAGTCACCTTGTCGCTGATGGCCTTGCCGGTCGAAGCATCCAGCACCTGTGCG